CTTCTTGAGGCCTTTTAATTATTGAGAGAATAATGTCATGAATAGGATTCATTCAGCGTGTATGCACCCAGTGCGTGATTCTGTTAATTTTAGTCTGTTTGTTAAATAAAAACACTATGGTGTAGTGAAAAAAAGAAAATTCGAAGTGGGCTGGTGTGCAAAAGTTTTCTGTTGTAATATCATATTAAAAGAGAAATTAAATCCAACATATTTTAGAGGTTTCCCAGAGGCTTCGAAGGTTTACAAAAATAAGCCTAATATACTAATTATCGTAATTGTAAATTTTAACACATACAATACATTATTTATGATTCAAGATAATGCGATTGTTGTATTATCGATCGGGAGGCGCATTTTTATGTGTATATTATTGCGGCGGTACCCTTTGAACCTATTCTGAAAAATTTTAATTTCATATTAGTATACTAATATGAAATTAAAATTATCTGTAAATCTATTTCATGAGCCATTACTTATTACGATACGATTTCGAACGCTAATCTTATATTTGTGTTCTCTGGTTCATTTTGCATCTCGTGATGCCAAAAACTAGGAAAGAGACCGTTTGTGAAGTGTTTGGTAAGCCAAAAAATTAATTGAAAAAATGTTACCAACTAGTGATGTAATGAGACATTTTTATGGATTAGATATCAGCTTAAGTTAACTTCGAAAAAGGAACCAAATGCTTCTGATGTGAAGAATCGTGAAGAACTTTGGGCGTCGTTACCTGTTTTATCACATAAACTAATGTTAATTACAAAAAGATATAAACATTAAAGAAACCGTTAAAAAACAGAAAAACTGTTTCTAACAAAGTAAAAGACTTTCAACACTATGCGAACAATAGACTTTTTGATACTTCATGTAAATCTGCCGATTATAGTTTATGCAGGTGCAAGATAAAGGTTCCTTTAAAAGATAGGTCATTTTATTAGATCAGCAAACTCAACGTAAAATGGTAATTAGTTCGTAGATGTAAATAAAAGTAAAAAAAAAAACTATTCAGAAAATTAATAGATAAGCTTAAATCAAGACAAACTTCCGAAAAAGACGTTACATTGCAGGAGTCTAATTCTTCTGATGGTAACTCAGATACTTCAGACGTAGTTAAATACAAATCAGTTGTTTTGACCTATAAATCAAGTAAAAATCAAATGAGAATTTCCTTACCAAAATTAGCCAAAGCGTGTGACAGAACAGGTGTATTTTACAGAGATGCAGCTATATATATAATAGCTTCCGCTGTTTTAAAGGATCTTAATATAGTTGATTTAAAAATAATTAAATGAAGTAAAGTGAGTCGTGCTAGAAAAAAAAGAGGTTGATTATGAGAGCAAGAAATAGTATATTGTTTACTGAGGGTGGAATCGATGATGAAAGTTTCCGAGCGAGCCGATAGGCGAGTGAAGGAATTCATTGAGGGAGTAATTGGGTTAAAATACTTTTTGATGACTAAAAATTGGTCCCTTCGGATAAATTTTACATTTAATGAAATAATACATATATAATTAATACAGGCTTGTTAAGTTGGTGTTATTTGAGTTTTTATGTTGCGTTAGGTTAAATGTATTTTTATTTTATTTTTTAATATTATTGCACTAGATACTACTGTATAACATTACTACTGCGTTACTTTTTTCTCCCCTGTTTATACTAGCATTATATTTAGGCTTCTGTTTAGTAAAAAATGTCTAAACTTCATACGTACCTACCTGTCCTTTATTATAAGTCGAAGCTTCTACCGCTTGTTTGTATTTATATTTGTTTTTTCTGTTTTTATTTTAAAAAAGGTCAAGTTTTTAAGTAAGCCTGGTAACGCAGTTGTTACATTTTTCGCCGCTTCATGTATAAATTGACATAAATATGGTGATATAATTAAAAACATCGTTGCAAATGTAAGTATATTATAAATTAAACTTTTACCACTCTGTATCGACAATAAAAATTAAAAAAATATTAATTTAAATATTAATTAAAAAAAAATTAATCACTGCTCAAATTAGGCATTAAAAAGAATTTTGGCCCAATTGCGATTCCAGGCGATTTGGGAGGTGGTGGTGGAACTTGAAAAGCAGCCACCTTCTCGTGGTGAGTTCTGGGTTGTGTTTTATGGTTAAAATCATAAAATATAAGCAAGGAGCTGTTTGTATATAAGAGAATTATATTATTATGTGAGAATTTCAAGTCCCTGGGGGAACCACTAAACAACGAGTAAGTGGGTCGAGTTTTTTGCTAAAATATGCCACTCAATAGACACTTCACCATAATGTAGACCTACGCTGCACCATAATGTAGACCTACCTGTATAGTATTTAAAAATTCAAATAAAAAAAGTTTTCCTGTTACAGCGTAAACTTAATAAAATAAGTGCCCTTTAGTTCAGCAAAAGTTTAAATTAATATTTAATTGTTATGTATTATACAAGAGATTGTTAATAGTTTTATTGGATATCGAACACTATACAATTAAATGCGTTTTATTTTTTTTATTTTTTGTTTTTTAAGCAATATGATAAGTTATTTTTTAGATCATATTCTTTATTTATATTGTCTCTCAACAAATATTCTACATATGTCATACACATCTTTTAAAATTTGTGGTTGGGCGTTTTTTTAAATTCTAGTGGTAAGGTTGTATATTTTTTGGCCAAGGCATTTACCTTATAAAAAAAATAAAATTATAAAAAAATATAAATGCTGGTATATGTTAATATATTTTTACCCCACCAAACAAGTCTCGTAATTTTTTATCACCACACGGTCGAAGGGTTAATGTATATTAAAAACAATAATGGACCCATGATCGTACCCTGCGGAACTCCATATTCGGGTTTTTGGGGTTTTCTAAAATTATTACCATTTTAACATACTGGATTCGATCACTTAAGTAGCTTTTTATTAGGTTTTTTTATTTTTTCTGTTATGCCTATATCTTAAAGTATTTGAATAGGTTTTGCATCACAGACAGTATCAAAAGCTTTTGCTAGATCAAGGAAAATAGCTATTGCTGGATTTCCTTTGTTCACTGCTGCAAATATATTTGCTAAGAGTTCTGCAATAGCATGTTGAGTGGACTTGCCTTTTTGAAAGCCATACTGTCTGTCAGAAATAATTAAATGTTTTTTAATAAAATTGTCTAATCTGTTTTTTACTAGGCTTTTGGTGAAGTTTGTTATATTATAACAAACTTATTAAGAGAAATTGGTCCTTTTTTTGAATGGGTATAATTATTGATGTTTTTAATGATTTTGCTCTTGTAAGTAAAAGTTTAGGATTTGTAGTTGTACAAAAAAAGTGCTCTTTTAGTTCCACCCTTACTTCCTAAGAAGTCCCAGAAGACAACTGAATAGCTTGTGCGGGTTAGGGGTAGGAACGGACCGCGGGCTAAAAGTCCCCTCCGAAGGACTATTACACAGTTGGACAAACACAAATAAACAGCCATACCCCTGGTGGGATTCGAAACCACGACCTCCGGCTTGTAGTCAGCAGCACTAACCACTAGTCCACCGTCGGCGATGTAGTGAGAAAGATTTGAGAATGTAAAAGAATATGAGAAATGAAACTAAAGATCCTAAAATAAGTCAATATTGGCAAAAAAACAAGCCAGGCAAGTAAAAGTTAAAATTTCGCATCAACAACCGTCAACGTCGACAAGCAAGAGGAAATCAAATATAATATCCTCTAATGACGAGCCTGAGACTATGCCAAATGTGGTAGAACCGCCCGATCTTTATAATAATACTGCAATTGTTATGTCTTCCCCTTCACCAGAACCATCTTCTGATAGTGATGGATTTAAATAAGAATTGACTTCAAATTTTGCCATCGGTGTGCGACAGATATGGAGTTTCTGATAGGGCTGCTTCAGCGGGCCCACACTTGCATCAGGGTCTAATCGGAAAAAGTTTAGAGACATGTCACCAACTCGAGATTGACAATACAAAGGAGCTTAGCACAGATCAAAAATAATTGCGAGAAATCTGCAATGCCATAAAAATAAATTAGCTAATCGCGAGCCAGGTCGCCTAAATCATGCAAGATGACTTACTGCAGCCAACAGAATCTTACGGTCGTACGTTGGAACTAACAAACCATCAGAGGACTTACAAGCATTGTCAAATTTGTAATAAAGGTTTATGGTCCTCTCTGGTTCGCTATTAAAAACTAAACTAAAAAACTATGATATCTACCTCAAAAATTGAAAAAAAGAAACGCATACTTCGTTAATCCTAAAAATATATTGTTATGTATGATTTCTGATGAGCGACGACAAGTTAGGGAAATTTAACTTCGAAGCGACTGATTGCATTAAAATTATTGACTGGACTACAAGTAACGTTACCGAACCACCACTAACAAAATACATGTCAACTAAAGAATTGCCTACAATTATTACCGAGGGTATTGACATTTCAGATTTCTCATGTCATACCCAAAGTGTTGAACGATGCATGAAAGTGGTCACCGAGGATTCTTCATCAGTAATTCAAAAATAAGATAGGGATGGCTTTATATGGGCCAAAATTAAGTCTAGGAAACGGATGCCAAAATTTCAATCGAAACAGGACAAAGGATCATTGAACATTAAAAGGTTTAGAGGGTGGGTTTGGTAGAACTCGAAGTGCAGCCACCTCCACGTGGTGAGTTCTGGGTTGTTTTTAGAAAATTACAAAAATAAGCTAAGAGCTGCACGGAATAAGTGGTTTAAAAGGTTTAACCTTAGTGGGGCGCAAAGAAAACATTTACCTCGTCTATGAAGTTATAACGATGACAATTTGAAAATACAAGTAAGGTTTTGACAGTTTCAAAAAAATTAAAAAAAAATTTTTCTAAGGGATTAAAAGGGATTTTTTTCCCTTTTACCAGAAGCATAAATATGCCAGGTGACAAGTTTCACATTGAATTTCCAAAATTTGTGTTTTTCGGCCCACAAAGTCAACTATCCCTCATGATTTGCCTGTAAATGAACAAAATTTATCAAAACCATTGTTTATAGTATAATTACCTATTTTCTGTACAAGCTTCAGGTGGTGTAACGGTTGATGGTATGATTAAAATTGGAGGAATTGTATATGTTCTTACTATACTTTGTTTATTATATTCAAATCGTCCTATATCAGTTCTATTTAGTCCATCCTCCTCTGTTGGTTCTTCTGTTTGTTCATATTCATCAACATCCATTTCTTCCATGACTTCATCACTACATTGTACTTTATGACAAGAATAGTAGTTATCAATACATTGACATTGTTTACAACCTTTTTCTTCTACTACTTGACCAGGCTTAAAATATTAAATTAAAATTATGTGTTGCACTTTTTTACATATTTAAAAAAAGCAACCTTTACAGGGCGTCCAGTTAGTGATGTACACATACAATCTGACCTTGAAACACATGTCTCATTATTTGCCCAATATTTTTCTTTTGGGCAATGTACTTTTTTTTTCAAAGAAATACATCCTGCTTCACATTTGACACCATGTTTACAGAAATCTTGGACATTTAATATAAATGAGTAATAAAGGCATACATTTTCACATGGAATAGCGCATTTTTCCATAACCATTCCTGGTGGACATTCTGGAACTTAAATATATGCTTTTTGCTTTAAACAATAAATAATAACAAACTCAGATTTAGAAATTTGTTTTGTTAGACAACTATACATTGTATATAGTGTTTGCAGCTTGAGATTCCGCATCGTATATAGATTTGAGAAGGTGTATTTACTTAAATATATGCTTTTTGCTTTAAACAATAAATAATAACAAACTCAGATTTAGAAATTTGTTTTGTTAGACAACTATACATTGTATATAACGTTTGCAGCTTGAGATTCCGCATCGTATATTGATTTGAGAAGGTGTATTTGATCGAATAAAAACTCAAATAAATTATTTTTATAATGTATTTTTCACATTGCATTTAAATTTGTCAATGTTTTTTATATACTTTGTAGGTAGCCCTAATAATAAGTTATTATATTATTGTGGATTTAAACTTCTTATTAATTAATAAAGAATCTATATAATACCATTAAACAAATTATTCTTTAAAATAAACTTTGACTTGGTAATATCAATTTAAAAAAACCGAATGAAAATGCAATTTTGTTTCTTTTTACTCCGAGATAAAGTATCATTGCTGATATAAGAGTATCTTTATTGATATTTATTTTTAGTGAATTTTTAACCCATTATAGTTAGTGATAAGCGTCCCGGGTCACTCTTTTGAACCGGATCACTGAATCTGGATCACATTAGTAAACCGGTTTATTCGGATCGGTCTGTGCATGGAAATCCTACGTAGTATTGTTAGAGAGAGCATGTTTTGGATAATTTCTGTATAATTAATCTTAGGTGTATTTTTAGCATAAACCAATTTAATATTTAATAGCCTTTTTCTACTCCTATTGCGGAATATGACCGTTCTAATATCACTTTTTAATGTGGAATGACAAATTTTCGTTAAAGTATTGTAGGTACTGAATTATAATGAATTAATCCTGCACCGGATGAGGAAATAAACACTGGTGGCAATATCTCTGCGCTTGATTTCTGACAAATTTTAGACCGATCCAACCTCACTTTCTCCCAATAAAATTATTTTTCTATGGTATTTTTAGGAAACGCAGAAAAAGTACAGTCTAAAATACATTTGAAATTGCATATTCGACTCTCGTGAAACCGTCAAACTCGCCTTCGGCTCGTGTGGAACTTTTCACTTGAGCGGAATATGCCGTATTCCAAACTTGTTACAGAATATACTATTATCATTGAGTAAAGAACTTCTTAACTCAATGCTATTATTATACAAGATACATTCACCTTAATATAGGATGGTGCGCATGTTGGGTGAGGCTAAAATACGTCACTCGTTGAGTATCTTTAAATTTACAGATTAATCTGTAACGTGCGTTTTAATTATCTGCTGCTAAAATTCTGATTTTTGCGCTTCTGTTGGATGTAAACTTGCTTTGTTATTTGTTTAACTTGTTTTTGTGTTCGGTAAGGTTCGGATTACTTTTCAGTGTTCAAATTATTGTTATTGCGTTGTGTTAACCTGTTCTGTTTGTGCTAAAATTATTGTTTTTGTATTGCGTTAACCTGTTTTGTTTGTTTTATAGTTTGTCTTGTGCCAATTCGGAAAACCATTTATTTAAATAAAAATTTAAAATTTTACGGCATTCTATTTATTGACTGTGTAAGGCACAAATATAAGAAATACAAAATTTCTACAAACTTTTAAGATTAGTGGAACCATTTACACAAGTATAAAAAACTTCAGATTGAGTTTAAAACCCTTCGTGCCATTTTAAAAACATTAGTTTGAATTTATAATATTAAAGAAAGGTTTAGAATAAATCAATTTAAAAAGTAAACATTCACAGGAATTTATGAATTTTTTTCAGGATATTTTCATAGGTACTATAATTTAAAATTGTTATAAATATTTTTGGTTAAAATTAATGTATTTTCTTTTAATAATAAAAAATATATTTAAATAGAATTAAATATTTTTCCAAAACATCCATCATCTATATTATTAACACTATATTGTAATAAACATTTTTGGTATGTATTTTTATATTTTCTTTTAATTTTAATTTTAATAATAAAATAATAGATTTAGTTAAAATTATTGTTTTCTTTTAAATCATCCATATTAATAAACTATTTTCAATATAAAATTTACAATAAAAAATAGATTTAAATAGTTTCAAATATTTTTTCAAAGCATCTATCATCCATATTATAACACTTGCTTCAATATCAATTTAAAAAATGCACTATGTCCAGATATTCCTATTTTCTTTTATAATATTACTATTATGCGCGGCAACTACTAACTATATTGGCTTTTGGGTTCGAAACCAAGTCGTTGCCTTCTTTAGAATAAATATAGCTAATATAGTTATGTATTTATACATGTTTTTTTGTACAGGGGATGTGATAATTATATGAAGCACTTTGTAATATTGATTGGGATTTTCTTGAGGACTTTACTGATTCTGACTCTGCTGTTGAAGAATTTTATAAAATCATCTACTCATTATTTAATCAGTTTGTACCTCTGTATAAGAATTTTAAACGGAAATACCCAGCATGGTATACAAATAAAATAATAAATAACATACAATTGAAAAACCACTATCATAAAAAATTTAAACGCTCTAAAAATAATAATGCTTTAAATGATTTCAAAACTTTAAGAAAAATTATTAAAAAGCAAGTAAAGTTAGCCTATAATGATTTTCTGGCTAAAGTTGAGTCGAGTTTTAAATCCGATCCTAAGAGTTTCTGGCACTACATTCAAACAAAAAAAGGTGGGTCGCGAATTCCTTCTAATATGTTTCTTGAAGATGATGAATTTGAGTGTGCTGAGGATATAGTTGCTGGTTTTGCAAACTACTTCAAGAGTGATTATGAGACTGGAAACCAAATTATTTTAAACAGTTTTAACCAAAGTTCAAACCACATTCACTTAAATTGTTTTCATCAAAAAGACATATCCAAGGCTATTAAATCTCTAAAAAATAGCTTGACCTGTGGTCATGATCAAATTCCCAGTTTCTTTATCAAGGATTGTCAACATTTGTTAACTTCACCCCTTCTTACTATATTTAACATCATTTTAAGGACTTCAAAATTTCCTGAAAAATGGAAAGTAACCCGTATTACTCCGATTTTTAAAACTGGTAATTGCCATGACATTGGTAATTATAGACCAATTGCAATTCTGTCAGCCTTGTCCAAGGTTTTTGAGAAGTCTTTATATCTCCACGTCTACAATGGCATTTCGCAATGTATCTAACCTTATCAACATGGTTTCATACATAAAAGGTCTACTGTTACTAATCTGTTTGATTTTACTCAATATGTTTCCAATGTATTGGACCAAAAGGGCCAAGTGGATGTCTATACTGACTTCTCGAAGGCCTTTGACAAGGTTGACCATAATATTTTGCTTGTTAAACTTAAGGCTATTGGTCTGAGTGAACCCCTAGTTGAACTTATACGCTCTTACCTAAGTAACCGTCAACTTTATGTTTGTTTTAATGGCTTTAAGTCCAATTGTTTTGTTCCTACATCAGGCGTACCTCAAGGATCAAACTTGGGTCCGTTGTTGTTTAATATATTCATAAACGATTTATCATTTTCTCTAACATGTAAACATCTATTGTTTGCAGATGATTTAAAGTTATTTTCCAATATATCAAATGTTGATGATTGTTTAGAGCTGCAGAATCAGCTGAATGTAGTACATCAATGGTGCAAATTAAACAAGCTAGTTTTAAACATAAAAAAATGCAAAACATGTACCTTTTCATTAAGGAAATATCCAACAGTTTTTCAATACTCCTTAAACAATAATGTTCTTTCTTCTTGTGATGGTATTAATGATCTCGGTGTCTACTTTGACAATAAATTGTCATTCTCTACTCATATACAAAATTTAGTTTCCCAGGCATTTAAAGTATTGGGCTTCATAAGCAGGAACTCTCGAGGATTTAAAAATGAAACAGCGTTAAAATCTTTATATTTTTGCTTGATAAGATCTAAAATTGAATATTGCTCCATAATTTGGTCTCCGCACTTTAATAACTCAGTTATAATGATTGAGAATGTTCAACGTAAATTTTTAAAACTATTATCATTCAGGCTAGATAATATCTACCCAACCACAGGTATTGAACATCAGTTACTGCTTGATCGATTTGATGTTGATTCACTTCAGTTCAGAAGAGTTTGTTCTGGTTTAAAATTCTTATACAAAATTTTTCACAATGAAATTGACTGCTGTAATATTTTATTAATGTTTAATCTATATGTTCCTAGACTAAATTGTCGTAATAACTATATATTCTACTGCGATAATGCTCGTACTGTTATATTAGCTAACTCACCAGTGCATGTTATATCTAATAACTATAACCAGATAAGCCATGTATGTGATATGTTTTTTTATAATTTATCTTATATATTAGTCGTTGCTAAAGAAATGTTTTGATATAACCTTTAACATTTATTATTTTGTCCTTTTATTGGAAATGTATTTTCTGTTGGGCAAATAAATTATTATTATTATTATTATTATTATTATTATTATTATTATTATTATTTTATTTTACTTTTTTGTTACTAATAAAGATTATCACGATTATATTTAAAAAAACTACCCAACGTAGAATTATAAACAATCCTTTATTAAAACAAGAACTAAATGTACATATACAAGTTAGTAATTTCCTGTATGCATGCAAAATATTAAAATCAAGCGAGGAAACAGGATTTCGCTAAGGGAATGCATTATAACACCCTCCCCCCTGTATCCGCGCCTGATTAAAATGTAGTAAAGTTATGTAGCTACTTAAATTTATGATTCAAAATATTTTAAAGTTTTTGAATTTGTTTAGTTTTTGTTGTTTTTATTTATTTAAAGTGTTCACAAAAATACCTAACCTATCTGTCTACCCAAGAATATTTTTGCTCAGCCAACATCAGTTAGCCGAAGAAAAATTTGATGTACACCCAGAGCAAAACGGGGGTAGGCCATCCAAACAAGAGAGACCAACTAATCCAAAA